CAGGACCAGCAGCTTTCCTCAGCAGACAGTCTACATTTCTGGTATCTCTCTTAATTCCTGGGGTCTCCATTCCAGCTTCAGCTTTGCCTTTACAACTTTAAACATTGCCCCCTGTGGGATATCCTGCAGGGATTCTGACCCTGCTACACTTTGCCTGGCCTCCCAGGCCTTCCTTTGAAATCTTAGTAGAAGCCTCCATGACCCCTTAACTGCAGCAACCTGCATTCCTGCAGAACTAGTACCATGTGGATGATGCTACGATCTGCTGCCAACTCACTCAGTAGCTGAGCTCCCTGGAATCACGGCTTCACTGGCCTCTGAGTACCTGGGGAGTTCAGTAGAGAAGAGCAAATTTCTAGGCCCTGCTATGTAAGTAGGGCACCCCATGGTCTCTTTTCAAGGGAATTTTCCCTTCTACACCCTTGAGAGCATGCAGTTTGTGTGGGCTTGCAAATTCCTGGGATATCTTGAAGCCACCTTTCCTATTGTCTCTGTGCCAAGTACTTAGCCTCTCTGTGGGGCCTTAATCTCTTCGACAAGCCACCTTTCTTGGCCTCAGTTTTACAAGCACTTTTCTGGTCATAGTAAGCTTTTTAAATCCTTTAGCTCTACTTTCTTTTTTTTTTTCTTTTTGTAGTTGTAGATGAACAGAATGCCTTTATTTTATTTGTTTATTTTCATGTAGTGCTGAAGATCGAACCCAGTGCCTCACACATGCGAGGCAAGTGCTCTGCCACTGAGCTACAGCCCCAGCCTTAGCTCTACTTCCTACTCTTGATTCTCACAAGACACCTGGCTTTTTAAAAACTACCAGCAATATCCATGCCACCAACTGAATATAGATTGCCTTGAATTTTTTTCCAGATTAATTAGACCATCACCTTTAAACTAAGCCTCACACAAAGCCTCAGGGTATGGGCAAAATGTAGATAAGTTCTTTGCCAGAATAGAAAATGAATGGCCTCTTATCTAATATCCAATAGAGTCTTTATTTTCCTCTGAAGCCTCAGGAGCACAATCCACATTCTTATCGGCATTCTCATCTTCTGGACTGCGACCAGAATTGTCCATTAAGCTCTGCTTACAACATTCTAAAGCTTTTCCGGCTGGCAACTCTAAGAAATACATAGTGCACCCCATTGGTGCCAGCTCCAAAGCCTTCTGAGCCATGTCCTCAGGTTAGTCAGCACTAACCCCAATTCTCAGGCCAATTTCTGTGTTAGCTTTTTGTCACTGTAACCAAAATACCCAACAAGAACAAATCAGAAGAGGAAAAGTTTATTTGGGGCTCACAGTTTCAGTCCATGAGAGACCAACTCCATTACTCTGGACCTAAGGTGAGGCAGAACGTCATGGCAAAAGTGGGTGGTAGAGGATCCACTACTGAACTCATGGAAGAGGGGAGGAGGGTGGGGGTGCAGGGAGGATGAACCCCTCCAGGGCACACTCCTCGTGACCACCTCCTGCAGCCCCACCCCAACTGCCTACAGTTACCACTCAATTAGTCCATTCAAACTAAGATAAACTGATCTCATAGCTCTCACAGTCTAATCATTTCACCTCCAGAGACACCAGGCTCCTTCCTGCCTCCAAGCCCTTGAACAGCACTTCCCTCTGCCAGGGATACCCTCCTTCTCACTCTTCACTGGGTTCACTCCTCACTTTCCTTCTCCTAAACACCTCAAGTCCCCGCCCCCATTTAAATTCAGGCCCTTTGATTCTTCAGGCCCCCTGTTCATTTCCTTCATAGTCTACTGAGTATGGGAATTAGAAGGGCTACCTTTTGTTTAATAACTGGCACCCCCACTGGCTTTTAAATTCAATTAGGGTAGGAACTGTGTCTATTTTGCTCACCACTATAAACCCAAAGCTTCACACAGTATCTGCTATATAGGAACTGATCAATAAATAGTTGTTTAGTGAATGTAACACCTGCCTCTGTGACAAATCTTGAACCTGAGTAAGAGAGAGAGTAGATATGAGGTGTCGAGAAATGCAAAGAAGCCAGGACTTCTCAGTAAAGATTTGGGGAGCACCTCTCTGCTTTATAGAACACCTCCCCCATTACAGATCCAAAGCTTTGGATTTAGAATAATTAAACCTTTTATTTCCTTGAGAAAATTGCAATCCCTTCAGCAAGAGTAGAGCTTTTAAGGACATCAGTTACTTTTACCTTAGGGTGGATGAGTTTATTGACTCCTTTGATCCTTTAACTGGTGCAAGAAAGAAAGGGGCCCAGGGGGGAGGGGAGAAAGGGCCACCAAGAAGATTAAAAAAAAAAAAATGGTGGAGAGTGAAGAGGGAGGGCAAGGCCCTGCCTGGACGCATTGAGGAGGTGGAGTCTCCAGCCTTGAAGATTCATTTGGCTAGTTGGAGAGCATCAACTCTAGGTGCCAGGTGCTCCGTGAACATTTCTCCTAATCCTCACAAACCCCAAGAGCAACAGGAATATTCTCCATAGTACCCGAGAGGCCCTCAAGGCTCATGAAGGCAGTGACTTGCCCACAATTGCAGCTTGATGCAGTGAGGTGGAATTGGAACCTTGGTCTCTCTGAGACGCCAGGTTTTCCCCTCTAACTTGACAATTCCTTCCAAAAATCATAGAGAAAGACATAAACTTCATCCTCCCTGAAGCAGAAGGACAGGATGGATTCAGCCCCAACATTCATTGGAGAACAATGGAAGTTACAAGCTGAGAACCCAAAATATTTAATAACAATAGCAAGAACAATCATAATAAAAGTACCAGTAATAATAGTCAAAGCAGGTGCTTATGAAGCCCTAGGGCCAGGCGCATATTAAGTGCTTTCCACAGATCCTCTCATTTATCCCTTACATCAACTCTCCATCAGTGTCTTTATTATCCTCGTTTTACAAAGGAAGAAGCCACAGTTCAGGGAGGTTAAGTACTTCCTCCAAGTTACACAGCTGGTAAGTCAGGAGGCAGACCCCAGAGTTCAAGCTCTGAGTCTGTTCTACCCCATGCATGGAGCTCAGCCCCCCCAACTCATCCTCAGATGATGCTCTTTCTCTGGGGGAGCTCCTTCACCCCTCCCCAAACAGCTGCCCACCACCTGAGGCGCATGGGGGGGCCCTCCTCGCCTCCCCTGCACCACCCCACAGCCATGTGGGCAAACACCCTGCTTCTCCCCAGGCAGGGGACGCCCGATTTGCATAACTTAATTAAATTCTGCATTCTCGTTTTCAGAGGAGCAGGCCTATGAAGGATGCTGAGTGCATGGTCTTAAGGCAAATCAACGCGGATGATGAAAGAGCCTATTTCGGTTAAGCAAATTATGAGGAGGCGGGCGATGTCCTCACTCTAATAATTTCCCGTGAATTATTTATATGGAAACTGCAATTACATCGGGCAAAACAGTGTTGTGTGCATAAAGCTCACTTAATTACCCAACCACCTGTTGGGACACAGGGTCCTGCGCCAGCCTGTTTCTTCCCCCAACAGTTCCTTTCTCTGGGAGAGCAGGGGACCTGGGGACTTGAGGCAGGAGGGGCTGTGAGGAAAATTATGTTTGCAAAGAGAGGAGGCACATTCTGGGCTTGCAGACCTGGGTCCCCATCCTGGCTGCCTGTGTTCCAGCCTGAAACTACACTTCCCATTCCCTAGGGCCAGTAGTGGCCCCTGGCCAGGCAGAGCCCCTACCTTGTTCCTAAAAGGGCATGGAAAAGCAAGAATTGAGAAAGAAGACGAGAGGAAGAAAGAAACAAGCCCCACACCCTTCCCTACAAACCCTTTAACCGAAGCAAACGAGACTCCTTTCATCAGTGCCCGGTTGTTTAACTGGAAATGAGGGTTGCCATGGCAACCATCCTGTCACATAGTATTTCTTACCACTTGCCAGCGGGAGAGGCGTTGATGTGTAGAGGAGAACCCTGGCTGGGTGGGGAAGGTCGGGAGTGGGGGTTGCATTGTTTGTGATCCATTTGCTGAAACACAAGGTCACATAGGCCTGTACCTAACCTGGGGCATCTCTGTTCATCTCTCCCTTTCCTGGACCATGGGGGAGGGGCCTGGGGATAAACATCTCTTCTACTTACCCCCCTGGGAGAAAAACATTGTAAATGTCAGAAATGTGATGGAACTGTCAAAAATACATGAAATCGGCGATAGAATAAATGGTGAAACCTACCTTCTTCTTTGTTCTGTGACTGTAAAAATCATGATGTTTTCTTCAAGAAAAAGTGAAAACAAAGAAAATTGATGACCCCTGAGAGAGGCTGGACAGGAATCATAAGTGTCTGTCCCAAGATTGGGGGAAGTAGCCCTCCCTTTCCACCAGTGCTGTAATCAAGATTGGTCCAGGGCCAGCCAATAGACCTGAGTCTGGTCAAAAGGTGGAAAGAAAGTAAGAATGTCAAGGAAGCTCTGGGCCTGGGGCCCTGGATGTACGACGGGGGCCTGTTAAAAACAGCTTGATATTGGATGTGGCTGGGGATGGGGAATCCAGGGTTCTAACCTCCATCATCACATACTGCCCTGTGACCTTGAGAAGCTGATTGACAGTAGAAAGTTTTTAGTTAGCTCTCAAGTTCAAATACAGTGATGGTAATACTCTGATATATTTCACAGTTAATGATACTCGTAGTAGGAGGATGAAATATTAATTGTGTTTAAATAGTTCCGCATAGAGATAGTTTCCACATATGGAGCACTCAATGTAGCAAGCACTAAAGTTGAGCTATATATGTTTATTATGTGTCCCATCTTTTAGACTAAGAAACCAAGGCTGATAAAGATTAATTTCTTTCCAGTTCTAGGGATTAACCCAAGGGTGTTTTACCCTTAAACTACACCCATAGCTCTTTTTATTTTTGACTTTAAAACAGGGTCCCACTAAGTTGCTGAGGCTGTCCTTGAACCTGTGATCCTTATGCCTCGGCCTCCCCAGTAGCTGGGGTTACAGGTGTAACCCCACAGCACACCGTTGGTAGAGGTTAAGCAATATACCTAAACTACAAAGTTAGAAAGCAACAAAGCCCACCTGGAAATCCAGATCTTGCTGACTCAAATTTCATGCTCTTCCTGCTCAGAAGAAGTTTGAAGGTCATGATCCAAGTTCTCTGAGAGTCAAGCTCCTGGCCCACATTGCTACTGTAGTTGGTCTCCATCCAGTCTAGTACCGGCTGCTTAACAGAAATGAAATGGAGTGTTTTTTCTCCTTTAAAGATTTACCATGTATAAATGTATGAGAATATTAAAGGCAACAATTAACTTTATTGGAAACCTTATATTCTCCAGCCTCATTAGAGCTGCCAACAAGATCTATTATTAGTATTACTATGCAGATACTGTAATAAAAAGGGTATTTAAAGTGGATAGTTTGGCAATGAAATAAAATAGCTTTTCTCTCTCTTTCTTTTTCTTTTTAAGATATATGTGTGTATCAGAGATGGTCTCGAGCAAGGCAAGAGCCCCATGGGACCTGAGGAATGAAGAGCTCATAAAATTTCCCTTCCCACCATGGCAGACAGCTAGAAGAGTTGGAGGTGGGAGGTGGAGGTCATCAGAGCCCTCCAGCCCCGTGGCAGGCCTGCCTCCAACACCATTTGGAAGAGCGAGATTTCTGCAAAAGAGAAGACCCTGCTCATCAGAGCAGAAATGTTCCAGAGGGTCCAGCTGCTGTCTTTGCACACTGCTGGGTCTAACTGCATCCCTCTTGGCGGCTGCAGTTTCTTTCATCTTATCCTCTCATCTTCAAAATGATGGAAAGCCAGGGAACGATTCCTCCCCCGCCCTTCTTCCTCTCTTCCTCTATTTATCCCACATCCCCTGCCATGGTTTATGGAAGTTTAGAAACAAGAGGAGCCTTGCCTTTTTAATCCTGGAATGCCTCCCCTGCTAGCTCAAGCCTTTCTCCAGCCCCTTTTTAACTCAGAATCTTTCTGGATGAAGTGGGAATTTCTCCTGGACCTGCCCAAGGAAGCACCGGTGCTCAGGTTTCCCCACTCCTCTGTGCTTGCTTCCTCAGCACAGGGACGCTGCTGCCCTCCTCCCAAGACTATGTGTCCGTCTCTTCCTGCACGGTGACCATCCCAGAGCTTGGTGAGCAGCAAGTGATGCCCTTCACTAAGAACTTGGGATGAGTAAGCCAGGAGGAGCAGCTGGTATCTGATCCTTGGCACACTGGAAGCACCCCTGGTGTTTTGCTGAATGGAAAAGTCTTAGCTTAATTATAAGCTCAGTTCTCATGTGAGGGCTCACGGAGCCAGGCTCATGCTATGATTACTACTCTTTCTCTTCTTACTAATAGCTACCACTTATTGTATGCCAAGTGTTTACTTATTGAATCTCCATCACCATCCTGTAAGGTAGATACTTTCATTATCTTCATTTTGTAAATGAGGAAATTGAGACTTGGCCAGGTGCAGTGTCGCATGCCTGTAATCCCAGCGGTTTGGGAGGCTGAGGCAGGAGGATTGCGAGTTCAAAGCCAGCTTCAGCAAAAGCGAGGTGTTAAGCAATTCAGTGAGACCCTGTCTCTAAATAAAATACATAATAGGGCTGGGGATGTGGCTCAGTGGTGGAGTGCCTCTGAGTTCAATCCCTGGTACCCCTCCCCCGCTAAAAAAAGAAAGTGAGGTTGGAAAGGTAATATACACCCTGTTGGAGGGCAAAGAACTGTCACAGTGCTGAGGCAGCCACAGAGGCCCCACTTTACTGGTTCTTGCAATCTCACCAGGAAGATTTCTGCCATGACACTCAGAATAGCAGATAAGAGTTTATTGAAAGGGTATGGGCAAGGGAAGGGGAACATTCTCAAGGGATAGAGTGGGTCCTCCCTCAAAGGAGAAGGACAGCATACCCCCTCCTGCCTTCCACTTTCACTGGCGGCCTCAGAGAAGTTTCCAAAGAAATTTTCCCAGGTCCATCTCTTTTGACTAACAGCAGAATGACATTAGATTTTCAAGGTCCCACTGTGCAGGATGACTCTAGGTCACTTTGGCCCTTCCTCACCAGTTCTAATTAGAACCTGTTCTTCAGATTTTATAGTTAAGGTAAATTCTTATTACCCTGAGTTCTGGGATTTGGTCTGTGTAAGGGTCAAAACCCCCAACCACACACACATACACACACACACTTTCAGGATAACTTGTGATCTTTTTATCAGCGTTTCAGGCCTGCATTTCTCCTGTAGATAACAGGTTGTTTGCTGAGTAATGTAACATCCTGTTGATGTGAGCCAGGTAGGGTTGCAGGTAAATTGCTTTTTTAAAAAAGAAAGCATGTGGGGGGTCAGCACAGTGGACCAGGTTTATAAACTATTCCCTTGACTTCATGTTCCCAGTGCTCACATCTGTCTGCCCCTAGCCTCCCGCACCCCCCACACACACACCATCACCGCTGGCCTGGACCTTTGCCGTAGTCTTCTAGCTGATCTCCCTCTATCCACCTGGATGCCCTGCAATTCCCTCTCCACATGGCTTCAAGCTATACACCTGTTGAATTTGTTCTCTTCTTTGTACCTCAATGCCTTTGCACTATCTACTCCCCCCATCTTCTTAAAATGCTCTTCCTCCGTATCACCTCTTCATCATCATTTAGATTTCAACTCAGAGAAGACTTACCTCCCCACCTTCTCAATCATGTATAGTCTACATACTATATCCCCACATCTCCAAATCTACAGTAGTATATAGCACATGGTAAGTGCTCAGTAAATGTTTCTTCAATAAATATTGTCAAACTAGCCCAATGTTACACGCTGATGGGGATTGGAGCATGGGGTCAAATTCAGGCCTGTCTTACCCTTGACCACAAAGTATGCTTGTGTGTAGTTTGGTGGTTCAGAGGAAGAAAGAGTGAGATAGGAGCTGCTCAGAAACACAGACAACTCACCAAGAGTCCAGAAGTAAATTCTTCACAGGAATTAGAATTAGAAGACGAGTTAGAGCGACAAAGAGCTATCTTGTTAGGAATTTACAGCAAAATAGGGGTGCACCGAAACCTAGAGGAAGGATTTCCAGCACCGAGGACTGGTTATTGAATCTCTAACACGAGCCAACTGTGCGACCAGAGTTCCAGGCTGACTGATCCGCCGCCCGTCATGCAGCCCGCCCCGTGGCTACAGACGGCGGGGCGCCGCCGAGAAGCGACCAACAAGCAGAGAGAAACAGTGCTACGGATTCTGTGGAATCCTTCCGGCTGTGCCCTCACTGAGCTTCGGGCTGAGTTCGGGATTTGAGACGGGGAAGGAAGCGGTCCAGTTATATCTCCCACAACGGGAAACTCCACCAAGGAAGCCAGCGGCCACCATCTTGGAGAGCTGACGTCACCACCACCACTCTCCGACAGATTGCAACAATAAAACAGGTGTGTGTTACTCAGCCCATCTCCCATACAGTGAGGAATTCGCATAAAATCTCTCCCAGGCTTTCCGGGGGAGGGATTATCAGAACGAGCCTGCATAGAGACGCGGGGAAAGGTAGAGACACCTGACCTTCAACTTCCCCTCCCATCAGCGCGAAAACGAAAACTGTCTAGCCAGCACTGGGGGAGGGGCAAGCGGAAAAAATCAAAACAATATGGTGCCACGGTCCCCAATAGCCACCCTCCACACCCAGCAAACTGCAGGCCCAGAGGACAGTTTGAACTGCCAAGAGGCATCACACAGGGGAAGGCCAGGCTAGCAGGAGAAACCAGGGGATGAGAGGCCAGGCCCTCGCGACTGGGCGGCTAGAGATCGCCCGCCCACTGGCGACCGACCGCCCGCCCGCTGCCCGCGTGACTGGGTGTCTGGAGACCGCCCGCCGGCCGGCGACCACCCACAGCCCCCGCGACTGGGCGGCTGGAGACTGCCCGCCCGCCGGCGACCGCAGGGCTAGACCCCAAGGTGTGGCCCAGCAGGTACGGCACAGAGACTCTAGGAAGAGGTCTATAACCAGGCCTTCATGAAGTAGCTAACCGGGAGCTGAAACCAACCAGAGACAGACCAGTCCCACCCCTCCCTTCAGACACTCCGGCAAGGAGCCTGGGGCCCGCCATAGCAGAAAGGTGATGTCACCGGAGTTCGGCCGTCAGAACTCCTTCCCAGCAGAATCCACTTAAGCAGGCATAGTCTACCACCACAAAGGAGAGACAACAGAGATATACAAAACCAAAACAAATTTATAGGAGAGAGCAGAAACACAGCAATCAAACAGAGCTGGAAAGTAACGTGAACATCATGAAAAAACAAGGGAAACAAGGATTACAAACAATGCAGAACAACTTAAATCTACAGGAGGACCTAGAAGCATCAGAAACATGGATAGGGAAAGAACTCAAGGCATACCTAACTCAGATGGAACGGAATATTAGAGAAGACATGAGACAGCGAGTCCAAGCAATGAAAGTATATTTTGAAAACGAATTAAACAAACAAATTCAAATGGCAAAGAACAAGCTTTACTAGGAGATAGAGATCTTTAAAAAAAATCAAACAGTAATCCTAGAAATGCAGGAAACTATAAACCAAATTAAAAACTCAAACGAGAATATTACAAATAGGCTAGATCAAGTAGAAGTCAGAACATCAGATAATGAAGACAAAGTTTATCAACTTGAAAAGAATATAGTCAACACAGAAAAGATGCTTAAATCTCACGAGCAATCTATTCAAGAGATATGGGATGTCATAAAAAAACCAAATTTGAGAGTCATCAGGATAGAAGAAGGCATAGAGGTTCAAACCAAAGGAATGGACAACCTATTAAATGAAATAATTCTAGAAAACTTCCCAGAGATGAAAGATGGAATGGATTGCCAAATCCTGGAAGCCTACAGGACCCCAAACATCCAAAACCGTAATAGACCAACTCCAAGACATATAATTATGAAGATAGCCAACATACAGAACAAGGAGAGAATATTAAAAGCTATGAGAGAAAGGAGGCAGATTACATTCAGGGGTAAACCAATTAGGTTAACGACTGATTTTTCGTCACAGACTTTGAAAGCAAGAAGATCCTGGAACAATGTATTTCAAACGCTGAAAAATAATGGATTCCAACCAAGAATACTGTATCCAGCAAAATTAAGCTTCAGATTTGACAATGAAATTAAAATATTTCACGATAAACAAAAGCTAAAAGAATTTGCAGCCAGAAAACCAGCACTGCAAAGCATTTTGAGCAAAATACTACAA